ATGTTCTTTGATTCTTTTGAAAAGTGTTCCTCTAGAAAATCCCATATTTTCTTATGAAAAGTAGTGTTGAAAGAGTATATATTAGTAGAAGATAAACCATCAGTTTTAGAAATGCCATTGTTATCCTCGGGAAATCCCATATTTTCCCTAAAAACAAGTTATCCGTCCTAGAGGTAGAGATGCAAGTATAGAAATCCCTGATTACTATCAGTGTGTATATGAAGGTAGTTTTATTATTAAAAATAAAACAAATGAAGAGTAGAGTTCGTAACCCAAAGTTAGTTTATAATTATTTGCGAGTCGTATAACCATACTTGATATGACCTAGAAACCTTTATAACGTTCTTCAAGCGTTAAGCTAATTGACACTTATTCACCCCAGGCGTGCTCGCCTAACTGTAGATAGCAGTTCAGGTGTGGGATTGTCAGTCCCGAATAGATCTATTCACAAATCCCACGCTCTCACTCCAGGAGACTCTGGTTATACTAAAAGGATTTATCCATGTACACCTAAGGGTACAGTATTGAAGTAAAGCCTTACAATTCTGTATAATCTTGTTTACAAGCTAGAAACAGTATAAAACATTAATTATCCTTCAATAAATGTACTTTGTACTTCTGAGAAAACATATAACATAAACTAAATCTGCCATAGTTTATATATATTCATCCATGAAATCTGATTTGGTAGAAACTGCCTAGAGGGTTATCCCAAACTATACCCATTATAGTTTATTAGAGTTGTTATGGAAAATGCTTTGTAAAACCTTTCTGAAAGCTATGAAGTTAGATTTCCAAAATAACAGTTTCCCTTATGCTCAACATATTACAAAAGCGATGAAATATTCGAGTATGTTATTAATCATGGATATCGTTGGACTGTATTAATAAGTTTAAAAAATTAGTAAAACGCTTTGTATTTGGTTTGTATTCCCCCGCCCCCTGAAAACAATAAAAACGCGGAAAATGTAGGGGTATGAACTCACCGTTTGTCGTGCACAAGCGTCGAATCAACGGACTGAAAAGAAGACTCTCGAGTTGTAGTGTGGCATTTAATGGAATCCTAATGACCATTAAATACATAAATATATCTATATTAGCGATTTTGTCAAATAAAGTATTGGAGAAACACTTGCTTTCGGTTAGGAAATGTTACCGAGACTTGTTCGAATCGAGGAAAGTGGGTTTTCAGCCCAAAAGCACCACCTAAAAAGTGTGTACGGCCGTGAACTGGGGTTTACGGTCGCAAGGAGAGTTTACGGTCGACAGGCTGTTTTCGGCCGTGAACAAGGGTTTACGGTCTTTGAAGATTGGCCGTAAACTCAAGAACAAGGGTGTTTGCTTTCGCAGAAAATGTGTTCCAGATGCTCCCAATCGACCCCAAGTGATGAATTTTGGTGTTTTTCGGAAGAAAAGGGGCGTTTTAGGAGTTTACGGTCAGAGGTTCTAGAGAGAGAATGAGAGAGTTTCCGGTCAAAAGTGTTCAAATGAGGGTGGGGGTCTGATATTTATAAGGGATTTTTGTGGTCGGTGGGTGGGGTCCACCCGACGCTGACCGCAAACGAGTTTACGGCCGTAAACAGGTTTACGGCCGTGAACTCCAGTCAGGCCGTGAACTTGTTGTTTTTCGAGAATAATTCAAGTTTCACGCGGTTTTGGTTTCGACTCGCATATATAAATTTAATTATATAAAAACAGATGATTTTCTAAATCAAAAGTTCGATGGAAAATTAATAAAACCCAAATTTTATTAACGGGAAAATCGAATAACATAAACGGAAAAACTTTCGGGTTGTCACACCGTGGCCACCCAAAACAATATTTCCATTTGAAAATTAAATTTGTACCTAGAACGGGTGTGACAATGATCTTTCAAACAAATATCTTGTTGACAAAGGCATTGATCATAATTTCTTCCCTACTTATACTCCTCAATAAAATGGTGTTGTTGAAAGAACAAATCAAACCTTCGTTGAATTTGCCAGATCCATTCTCAACTTTACAAATCTTCTATTACTTTTATGGGCTGATGTTGTAGCCACTGTTTGTTTGTTTTTTCTGAACCGAAGCATTGTCAACAACAGATTCAAATTCACGCCATATCAAGCACTCAACGGTAACAAACCTAATCTTAATTTTTTCCACATTTTTGCTTGTAGGTGTTTTATTAAAAATAACAAATACCACTTGAGAAAATTATAAGCAAACTGTGATGAAGACATCTTTCAGGGATACTCCATCAGAGGCGTCGCTTATAGGATCCTAAACATAAGAACACATATCATTGAGGAGAGCTTTGATGTCACCTTTGATGACATGTTTGTTCGAAACTCTTCTCAAACCTGTATTACTTCTCACATCATGGAAAGTGTCACACCCGCTTTTTCGAAACCTACTCAACAGTTCATCGTGAACATTGACTTTGATTCCCTCTTCGGACCACTAAAAGTAGCACTATATGTTGATTTCATCCGTACGCACGAAGCTCTTGTTTCAACCAACTCTTCTGGACCTTTTCTCTCTGAAGTTTCAACTAGAGAAGCTTTTGCTTCTCCGGTTGAGGGGGAGAATCACACTACATATCCAACTTCCTCACTAATTGAGGGATAGAAAAAATCAAATCCTTCTGATATACCCAATCTGCCAAAAGCCACAAACTGTGATACCCAATTGCCCAACCTTGGTACCACACCTTCAGATAATGTACCATCTGGGGTTTATGCTGTTCAGGGGGAGCTTCCATTAATTACTCCATCATATTCTCTCAATGCAAGTCAAGACATCACATCAACTGCTGCAACCGATCATATTATCCATCGTCTCCACATTTTAACTAAGGATTATCCTCCAAACCAAGTCATTGGCAATCCCAATGATGGTGTTCAAACAAGGCCAGACAAGTCTATTCAAGATGAATGTCACTATGCGGCATTTACCTCGTTAATAGAAACCAATGACATCCACGATCCACTACAACATTATGATTGTATTACTATCATGCAAGAAGAACTAGCTGAATTTGAAAGTAACAAGTTTTGGATCCTCGTCCCTTCCTCGAAGAATCAAGCAATCATTAGTACTCAATGGGTATTCAGAAACAAAGTTGATGAATCTGGAATTGACATCCGGAACAAAGCCAGATTAATTTCCAAAGGCTATAGTCAACAAGAAGGAATTGATTATGATGAAACATATGCTCTAATAGCAAGACTAGAAGCCATTTGTATCTTCTTGGCCTATGCAGCTCTCAAGAACATCAAAGTTCATCAAGTTGCGACAAAAGCGTTTTTCTCAACAAAGAATTAAAAGAGGAAGTATATCTCAAGCAGCCACCAGATTTTGAAAACCTTGAACTTCCCAATCATTGTTACAAACTGATGAAATCATTATATGGTCTAAGGAAGATCCACACACTTGGTATGAAACCTTGACTAATTTTCTAGAAGATTCGGGGTTCATCATAGGAGTAGTTGATCCAATGTTATTCAAAAGATCAAGTTAGAAGCACTTGATGCTTGTGCAAATATATGTTGATGATATCAACTTCAGATCAACTGATGAATCCATGGGTTTTGAATTCTCAAGACTCATGGTAAGTAAATTTCAAATGAGAATGAATTGTGAAATGGATTTATTTCTAGGTTTGCAGGTAAACCAATCACTTCAAGCTACTTTCATTCATCAAGAAAAATACACGTCTGAATTACTCCAAAAGTATTCCATGGAAAACTTCGCATCGTCCAAAGTACCTATGTGACTATGTCCTTTGGAGCGAAGATGTATGATGATCTATTCAGAGAATCTATTAATATAAAGACTTACCATGGAAATATTGCGTCCCTTTTGTACCTTACTTACAAAAGACCCAACATCATGTTTGCTACTTGCTAATGTGCCAAATACCAAGACAACCCGAAGGTTTCTTATCTCATTACTTTTATAAAAATACTCTGATATCTTCGAGGAACAAAGTCCCTAGGTTTATGGTATCCAATCGAAATTGACTTCAGTCTTCAAGATTTCACCAATTGTGATCATGCTGGATGAAAAATTGTTCGAAAGAGCACATGTAGAGGATGTTAATTCCTCGGTGGCAACTTCTAAGCTTGTCTTCAAAGAAACAAAATTGTGTCACCCCCTCAACATATTAGGGATGCTCAACCTTTATCGTAATACTTAGGAATCTCATACGCTCTTGGCAGATGCAATTTATTTGCCTTCTGACTTAACCTTCGGACATAAGGCATATTGTGTGTTTATCTAACTTTCTGTTTTCTTAAAGTGTTTTTCGTTTAGTGATCTTTAGATCATTCCATCAAAAGAAGTCATCTCAAAAGTTGAAAGGTATAATAAATAGAGTTCTTATGACTTTTCTTAAATGCTTAATCAATTTATTCTTCTAGACTCATGTCTGTGAAATAATGTTTTCTTTCAGAATCACTTCTGATTACATTCAATTGAAAAAATCATTCTCTCTTCAAAAGGACTCTTTTTCAAAAATAAAAGACATGTGGCATTTAAAAGTTTTATATTCCTCTAAGGATGAACTTTCTATTTCTAACAAATAAAAGATAATCTCTCAACAAGTTAATTATCGTACTTATCAACTTTTTTAAACTCTCTTTTAAAAACTAGACGATTCATAATCATACCCAGTCAATCCAAACCTAAATACAGTCTTTCTCTCTCCCACGATTCAACCCACACTTTCAAACTAGTCCTTTTTCATCTTATCTACAAATTTCTCTCTCTTGTTCATCCTTATTCTTCCTCCTCCAATGGAAAATATTGGAACTTGATCTAAGAATCCAGGTCCTTCATCTCAATCCAAGCCTACCTACAAAACTTCTTCTTTCAGCCTTCAATTCTTCCTTGATACCTTGCTTTACGACCCATTTCTCACACCTCTATTTAAAGCTCTAAAGAGTCATGATTTGTTTTCTCCTCTCACCGTTTCCACCTCCAATAATCCTTTTACATACCTAATCAAAGCCCTTGATATGATGGAGGCTGATGAAAAAGTTGATCGTTGCCAAATTCAACTAGTCGAAAACGATAATGTGTTTCTGACTAAACACATCTTTCTTGAATCCATTGGACTCCCTAGCTCTGCAATTCGTTCTTGCTACGAGACTCCATCCACTGCTCATGTTTTTCAAAAACTATTGGAGATTGGCCACAAAGTTCCCCTAGACATTACAAGCAACTTTAAAAAATCGAAGCTTCCATTCACTTGGAACTTCCTTGTGCACATCATCATTCATTGTCTCACTGGAAAGACTAGAGGAACTAATCAACCCAGCACCACTTGGCGTCAAATTATTTGGGGCATCATCACTGGAAGACCAGTAGATTACACTACATGTCTTTGGAACGATTTAAAGGAATACATCGTCACACGAAACATGGAGATCCCACTCACTCACTTCTGGATCGTCTGTCTTGAGTCCCTCTACAATGTCCCAAAGATACTAGTCGATGAATCTATGGAATTGGTAGAGACTTGCCAAATAAAGAGATTTGTTATTCCTGAATAAACCGACTTTGGGGCTAACAAACTTCTACCAACTGCTCTTCTGCATCTCATTCCAATAGATTCAGAAGTTCCTGCCAAAAACATTAAGGATATGGATAAGCCAGAACCAGCGCATCCTACTCCATTCTCAGCAAGAACCTTGCAGAAAGCCCCAATGTATGAAGTCGGAACGACACCACCGAAGGTAAAGCAGGTAGCAAAGAACAAGAAAGCATAAAACAAGCATAAAGAGTCAATTGTTGCCTCCCCTCCTTCCAAAAGGTATATCCCATCACACACCATGAACTCCCAACATTTTAGGGGTGATAAAAGACCTCCCGCCAGGTCAAAGGAACTTAAAGCCATCCGTTTGTTAGATTTTTGGGAATCAGAAATAACAATAAATACAAACTTGGATAGATTCAAGGATCGTGTTTTTAAAAACTTTTCAAAATCTATAATTCTTCCTTTTTGCCTGGGGTATACAAATTCAAAAGTGGGATAATCGAAGAATGAACCAATCTGAATTTCAGGACTAATTTGGATTGTGAAACACAAAATTCCTTGCCTGATGTGTTTTTAAGAGATAGATAAAATCTTAATAAATAGGTTTCAAGTGTATGTTATGTAACCCATTTTCTGGAACATGAAAAATGTTCTTATACAAATAGGAACGTAGTTAATAGTGGTTAGATGTGGATTTGGCACAAAAACAGGTAGTTTTTTTAACATAATAAGCGTCTATATGATCATGTTTTCATCAAGTGAATTTTGGTAAGAAGATACTTGGCTGGAGTCATACTCAATATGAAAATCTGTTTAGGTTCATTACCCTTTGGAACCTCATACCCTGGGGATGTGCCTCCGGATCCCTATTTTCCAAGCTAATATTAATCACTCTGAGTTTGCACCCCGCACCTCCAATCTTGGTGAGTGAAATAGAACTCAACGTAAAACATTTTGATAACACTAAAATCACCAACACCATTCATCTTCTCAAGAAATCGATCTCTCTAAATTTAAAGGGGTAAAGTTTGTTTCCACTAGCACTCTCTCTCAAAAGAGTGTTGGCATATCTTCGTCTACTCATCCCTAAATGGACATTCCTTTTAGGTTAAAATTTCTTGTCATCATAAGAGAATATCTTATTCCTTTTTGCACACATTGAGATTTTGAAGCCTCTGCGTTGGATACAGCGTATGCTGCCAGAACAATGGATATATCCATAGCAAATCCTTGCAGGACTAACATAAACACCATCATGTAAGTGTGGCTAAACAAATACTTTGGTATTTGTGTACGCTTGAACAGAGTTCTATAGAATTGTTGTTTTCCGTGTGTGTGTATGTTTTTAAACGTAACCAAGATACTTTGATAGGGAAATTTTCCCCTGATCCATCCAAACATGTCAAATCTTGATAAATCAGGAACTTCGGAAAGATCCAAAGTCATTTCTGCCTAGATAAGACGGGAAAAGGAGTTCAAAAAGAAAGATGAGAAAGAAGGACAAGATGTTGAACAAACTGTTGCTCTATAGAAGAAAGCTCTTCATGACCTCATGGAGAAGAAAGAAAAGAATTGGAAGCTATGGAACGAAACGCTTCCGAAGAAAAGCAAAGGGAAGTAGAGGAAAGTGCCAGAATAAAATCTCAACCTAAAGAGCTTTTGAGAAAACTAGCTATATAAGGTCATCAATCAACACCAAGGACTTCTACAACCTTGATAACATCCTCCAAGACACTCACTAGAACGAATCTTAGCTCAACAAAATGCTTTTGGAAATGATTCCGATGAGTATGTCTCTGAATGCATTGGAATCATGCCCAACATTTTTGTCAAGCCTCGCCCTCTACCAAATACAACTACATCTCAGAAGCCTCCCATAGAACCAGATGCATCTTCATCCAACTCCAAAAATTGGCCTTCCAAGGAAGATAAGTCCATAGCTGGATTAGACTATTCCTCAAGAAATATAAAGATCCTTGAAGCCAAAGTAGATGTCATCTTGGAACTGCTAACCAAGCCACCCTCAGCTCTAATTCCTCCAGCAGCTCCATAAATCACCTCTGAAGATCTTAAAAAGATATTAAGAAGGTTCTTTCTGAATCTACTCTTCAAGCGGACTCTCGCCTCGAGTGTCTTGAAGACTTTCAAGCTTCAATTACAACCATTCTCAATAATATTTATGAGGAGATTTCATATCACAAAACTTATGTTAAAGCATCACTTGAAGCCTTCTTTGAAACTCTCAGCAAACAACATGGTGATAAGATTAAAAGGCTACGTCTGGATCTTCTTCAGTATCGCAACAACACTTTGGTCATGAAAAATGTGTGTCCCAAACTCTCTAATGATGTGACAAAATGGCCTTGTAAGGTGTCTCATTCTAAAATTTAAGGGATCGGAATAACAATAAATACAAACTTGGATAGATTCAAGGATCATATTTTCAAATACTTTCTAAAATCTATAATTTGTCCCTTTTGCCTGGGGTACATACATTCAAAAGTGGGATAATCCAAGAATGAAGCAATCTGAATTACTGGCGTAATTCAGATTGTGAAACACAAAGTACCTTGTTAATGTGTTCTTAAGAGATAGATCTAATTTTAATAAACAGATTTTGAGAGTATGTTATGTAATCCATTTTCTGGAACATGAAGAATGTTCTTATACAAGAGGGAAAATAGTTAGTAGTGCTTACATGCAGATTTGGCTCCAAAACAGGTAGTTAACAGACATAACTAATACCCACATCATCATGATTTCATCAAGTGAATTTGGCGGGAAAATGAATGGTTGGAGTTATATCCGATATGAAAATCCGTTTTAGCCCCGTTAGGGGCGTAGCCCTGCTAGAACCCTGCACTAACGGGTGCTGCCCTCGGACCCCCGTATTCCCGAGTTCACACTTATCATTCTGAGTGTGCACCCCACATCTCCTATCTCGGTTAGTAAATGGAACTTATCCTATCTTATTATTAATAATAATTACAGCAAAATATGCTGATAACACTAAAATTACCAAAATTCCTCCCACATTTTAGTGAAATCCTTAATTAACTAAAAGCAAACACAAAATTAAACTTATGTATAAATGAAAATATCTTGAAGATTGAATTTTCACATTAGTTTAATATACATGTCAAATACTTAAGAATAAGGGTGTCCTAAAGACTGAACCCTTTAACTCATTTAAGCAACTGAAGATACTATACACATGTGTTAAACACAATATCTAATGTTTCATACTTGACACTATTACAACCATGTGTCCAATACATTCATGAGTGCATAAAAGCCTAACCCAAGATTTCTGAGGCGATAATACTTCACACCCACATAGGTAGTCCTTTTATACCGTTCACTTGTTAATGTACTTTTTCAAAACAACTATTAAGAACTTAATCATCCTACTTTAAATATACAGGTTATAAGCACATACCTTGGGATGTTGAAAAATAAATGTGCTTCGATCTCCATAAGCAAGCTTTCCATATTGAATTCAACTTCTAACCTTGTATTAGAAGTGAATTGGGTATCTCACCCATAGAGATATCAAGTGGGCCTTAACCCCATTCATATAACCTACTTCTTTACCAAGTCTATAGCTAACCCCTTCGTCAAGTGATTAGGTAAATTTTTTTTAAATCGAACAAACTCAACATAAATGATACATGTAACGCTCGCACAATCACAATGTATAGAGATATCAAATGAGTAATGAGCTTATGTACCATGTTTTTAGTAACACCCAAATGTCGTGACTTTCCATTATACACTTGGCTATATGCTTTTGCCAAGGTGACAGCACAATCACAGTGTATAGAAATAGGTGATATATGTAACACCCGCGTTCCTGGCTAAGCATTATTATAATTATGTAAAACTTAGGGACAACAATTGTAACCCATTTTGAAGTAATGAAGAAAAATTATTTGAGTATCATGTGATTTACGTGTAAATTATGTGCAATATATGTGCTTATAACGATATAATAAAATAGGAATAAAATATGCGTCTAAAACAAAATAAAAATTACACCCAATATCTTTGAAGTTATGACCCGTTGAAATTTCACGATTAAACTGACATGACTCCGCGTATCGTAAAAAGTAAATATTTGACCAAATACTTTTTAGCCTTATTGATCTAAACGAAAGTCGTAGTAGACATTAAACCTAGAACGTGCATATAGAGAACGTCCAAATCTGACTTCGTTAGAGGAATTTATGAATTTTCTAAGATTCAACATAGCAGTACAGAACCCAGAAATCGAACTTTAGATCGATCGATTATTAGCCGACGCAACCTAAACGAGAATTGAAGATGTCGTTAGTAGGAGCTCAATGATATAAAGACGGTGGAAAACGGACATCGGATGACAAATTATGAATTTTTAATGGACTTTAACTGTCTAAGTCTGTTAAAATATAACTTTAAAAATAAATTCAAAATTAGTCGACATAGTCTAAACGAAAGTTGTAGATCCCGTCGATAGCTACGTGTGGATATAAAGAATGTCAAAACGGCGACCGTATGCAAAAGTTACAGATTTTACAAGATAATTAATTTTCGGATTAACCAGAAATTGATACGTAGCAAGATCTAGGCCACGCCTTCTTCCCCACGGCTTGCCACCATATGGTGACACATAGCCACTATGCCCAACGTAATATTGGAGTACGCCCAGCGTACGTGGCATTCCTAGCCTATAAATAGATGATGAATTTCACTCAAATCCTCACACCTTTCTATCCAACTCTCTCCCAACCCCCCCCCCCCCCCCCCCCCCCACCACCACCACCACCACCCAAAGCCTCTAAGCTTTTCTCTAGCACTTCCTAGGTGTTAGTAGTGAAGCGTCGGAGCGCCGGAAAGCCCCAAGAATTAGAGCTTTCGGATTAGAAGTTATGCCCATGCAGAGTCCGGTATCTTGCTAAACCACCTATAAGTTGAGTTATGCTTATCGTACTTTAAGTATAACTTATGTTTAAGTTCATAATCGTAATTATGAACCCA